GGCGACAGAGTGAGACTCCATCTCAGAAACAACAACAAAACCCACCCAACTAATGGATAAATCAAATGTCTCCTGGAAGGTGTATATGGGAAATAATAAACCCCAGTGAAAATAACTGCAGTAAAATGAAAAAGGGAAACAGAAAAAGTTGGAAATGGTTTAATTTTGCTGGGTAGAAAACTGATTTAATAATTCAGGGTAGTAACGTTCACTCTAAAGAATTCTTTTTTGCTGACAGTTCACTGGTGTTGGTGTAATTCTGCCTATGGGGCCATTCTCAGAGGCAGAATGACAGGGTCAGGACTTCCTCTCCTTGGGGTTCCCCAGGGAAGGTGAAGAATGGGGGTGCTGGCCTGCCGGTCCTCACCTCTGTTGGCACTGGGGGTGGCTGGGCTTCCTCGCTTCCCCTGGCAGCCGCATCCCAGCCAACCTGAGCTGCTCTGCAGTCTCCGAAGAACCAGCTCTTCTCCATCAGTTCTGCCAAGGCTCCTGCTACCCACTGGCAATTCCTGAAATCCAAGCCTTGCTTTGGGGACATCCTCCATATTCTCATTAGGATTTCATTATCTTTCAGTACAAAACTGTTTCTAATTTACCTTATGATTTCTTTGACATTGTTTATTTGGAAGTGTGTTGTTTAATCTTGAAATCTTTGGGGATATTCCAAATGTCTTTCTGTTACTTATTTCTAATCCAATTTTGTGGGATCAGAGAACATAATTTACATGATTTCAATTCCCTTTTTTTTTTTTTCTTTTCAAGACAGAGTCTTGCTGTGTCACCCAGGCTGGAGTGCAGTGGTGTGATCTCGGCTCAATGCAACCTCTGCCTCCAGGATTCAAGCGATTCTCCTGCCTCAGCATCCCCAATAGCTGGGATTACAGGCACACGCCACCATGCCCAGCTAATTATTGTATTCTTAGAAGAGATGAGGTTTTACCATGTTGACCAGGCTGGTCTCAAACTCTTGATCTTGTGATCCGCCTGCCTTGGCCTCCCAAAGTACTGGAATTACAGGTGTGAGTCATCGTACCCGGCCCAGATTTCAATTATTTTACATTTGTTAAACTTTGTTTTATGGTACTTTGAATGTGGTTTATCTTGCTAAATGTTTCATACACACTTGAAAATAAGGTGTATTCCACCACATTATGAAGGCCTTGTCTTCCGAATGTCCAGTGGTTGCCCTGGATGATAATGTTGCTCAGGTCCACTGCATCTTTATTTTCTGCTTACCTGTTCCAGCAATTACTGACAGAGGAGTGTTAAAGTCTCCGCCTGTAATTGTGGATTTGATGGTTTCTCCTTTCAGTGATGGCAGGCTTGCTTTATATATATCTTAGGTGCATATACGTTCAGAATTATAGTATTCTTGGTAAATGGAAACTTTTATCCTAACAAATTATTCTTCTTTATCTCTGGTAATATCCCATGCCCTGGCATGTATTTTGCCAGATATTAATATAACTACTAAAGTTTTCTTATGATTAGTGTTTACATGGTATATCTTTTTCCGTCCTTTTTACTATGCCTTTATAGTTGAAGTATATTTATGCCTGGGCAATATAGAAGATTCTGTCCTACAAAAACATTTTTTTTTTATTTTTTGAGACAGAGCCTCACTCCATCACCCAGGCTTGAGTGCAGGGGCACAATCTCAGTTCACTGCAACCTCCACCTCCTGGGCTCAAGCAATTTCTCGTGCCTCAGCCTCTCAAGTAGCTGGAATTACAGGTGCGCACCACCACACCTGGCTAATTTTTGTATTTTTGGTAGAGATGGGTTTTTGCCATGTTGACCAGGCTGGTCTCAAACTCATGACCTCAAGTGATCCACTCACCTCAGCCTCTCAAAGTGCTGGGATTATAGGCATGAGCCACCATGCCTGGACTCTACAAAAAATTAAAAATTAGCTGAGCACGGTGGCCTGAGCCTGTGGTACCAGCTACTCAAAAGACTGAAGTGGGAGGATCGTTTCAGCCCAGGAGGCAGAGGTTGCAATGAGCTGAGATCACACCACTGCACCCCAGCCTGGATGACAGAGCGAGACCCTGTCTCAAAAAATGATAATGATAATAATAAGGGGCATATCTTGTATAACTGCATAACATGTAACTATTATATGTATTATGTTTATAATTTTTTTTTGAGATGGAGTTTTGCTCTTGTTGCCCAGGTTGGAGTG